TCCATCACAGCTGATTTAAATGGCTAAATTATCTCCTCAACATGTCTTGAAGTTCTCCAGAGGCCTGCTAATGAACTAGTCCAGGGGTCAGCAACCTTTCACATCCAAAGAGCCATTTGGACTCGGTTTCCATGCAAACGAAAACACTGGGAGAGCAAATACTTTTTGACATCTAAAATGAAGATAACACTGTATATATTGTTTTTACCTTTATGCTTTGTGTGAACAAATAAGGTGTGTTGCTTATGAAATCCTTGAAGTGCTGCAGAGAAAATTACATTTTATTTATGTAATTAACACATTTTGAACTCTTAAAGAAATATAACAAAAGGAAAGACACCCAGCTGAACTAAAATGATCCATGTAGCAAACAAAAACTGTGAGCTGCCACCCTCATATCGCCTTTGGGCTTTTGGATCCTTTACCTGACCGAACTTCTGCTCCTGAACCTCTGTGCACAGCGTCTGCAAATCGGGGCTGTACGAAGTCACTTTCATCTTTACGCAGGACTGTAAGCTGTCGTCTGTGAGGCGTGAGCGGTGTTTGTTTTTAACATAGTTCACGGTGGAGAACAGCTGGTGACATAATGTGGATCTGAAGATCCATAATTGGCCTATCTGGGGTTAAAAGTCTCGATAAATGCATGGCGTTTCGGCAGGTATACCGGCTTCCGCGAGTGTGATGCTTATTTTGAGCGATGAAAAAATAATAGAATATTATTTTATTTTTATATTTCAAAATCGCAATAATCTTCCAATTTAGAACTACAAGTTAAAAAAGAACCAACATAAATAAAATACAGCTTCAGCTAAATACTTCTAATTTATTTTCCCAAACCACGCGGAGCTGCACTATAAGGACTAAAGAGCTGCAGGTTGCCGACCCCTGGACTAGACATTTGATTCAGATGTGCTGACCCAGGGTGATATCTAAAACCTGCAGGACACTGGCCCTCTCTCGAGGCCTGGAGTTCCCTACCCCTGGTGTGGGGAATACTTTCTTTGCACACTGTAGGCCCCTTAATACCAACTGAACATTGTTTAACTGTATCACTGTATACCTGATTATTCTTGCTGACCAAGTCCTTTCCTTTATAACCACAGTGTACACATCTTCTGATAGCTGCTTCCAGCACGATAAGCTGGATTCTAACTGTTTGATGCTATCATGTCAATATGGAGCAAAACCTGTGAAGAACTGCTTCCAGCACTTTATGTCGAATGCTTCCAACCCAGTATTAGCAGTAGCATGTAACGAGACATAGTCGTCATGCTCCAAATTATGTTAAATAGGCCATTTGTTTGAAATGACTTGTTTGAAATTATTTTCTGAATGGATGCTAATACATTAGTAAGTATTGAA